CTTAACCGCTTTCGGCGGTCGGGGAACAACGCATCTTTTGCGCAAGGCCATCTTGTATCCGGTCTCTCTGGATGTCTATTAGATGCCAATTTGGGAACACGAGTTATTTACCCCTCTAACTCTGAATTTGCTAAGACTGGTGAGGACTAAACTGTATATACCAACAGAACTTTATTGCTATCCTGATACCTATAGCACAGATGTGCCTCACTGTGCCTATGACTAGTTAAGCTGCAGTCGTTGCAGATTCCCACGTTTCGAATGCAAACGAAATCGTGGGATGTTTGGAGAGAGGAGTGTCAATAGGTGTTGTCGACTTAACAGAAACGACATCATGATCAATCTCGAGGTCGACATGACGCTTAAGGAGGTGATTGGATACATCTACAGCTGGTCCTCTTCCCAGCAGTACATGCAAGAAACTGGCGATCATCAACTGCTGGAAAAACTGAAGGCCAGGTGAGGTTTAGAGGCTCTCTAGTTAGGTTTTGAGGTTGTGAATACAGTATAATCGTTGATATTAACTTACATGTTCGGTTGAGAATAAAACCCATCACAGAAATGGTTGAACGATGAAGATGCCAGAACGAATAAAACAAACGAACAATTCGGCATTGAAATTTTTACATTTGTGTTAATGACTATGTTGTCTGTATCTGTATGTGTGGTAAATTTATTTCTTCTACATTCCGGACTTCACTCATCATTGCCACCACCTTTTACAGGTTGCTAGATGCGATGGGAGACAGTAGCCCTGCTGAAGATGTGATACACATGCAGTTTCCTATTACGTTGCTCATGGGACGAAAGGAAGAACATTAGTCACTGAAGCTGATATTTAGGTGTTACCTTCTCCATGGTGTATAGCATAAATGGCTCATGGCTTAATTAAATAATTATTTAGAAAAAAAAATTGCTTTAAATATTGATGTTGGATTTCGTTTCAGTTTGGTTGGTTGGTCGTGTAACGCGATTGAATGCGTAGAAGAGAGAGAGTTAATCAACGAGATCCAAGCTTTAATGTTCACACTGTAATGGCGTCTACAAACCGGCTGTTTAACCAAACTGCTGCTAACGGACAGCTCATTGTAAAGGCGTCCTGTTGTTGGCTGCTGCGAGATCACACCACTGAGTGGGTGTATCCAACTTTACCAGCTAGGCTATACAATACGTGATATACATAAATGTATACACGTTACAGGTTGTTGCTCAAAACAATTAGTTACAAGTCAAATGTATAATAATTCATAATAAATTCCTTGAAAGTGCCAAGCATGTTTTCTCAAATCTAGATTTAGCAGTTGTAAAACGATACTCCATGTCATAGATATTACATAGACTTATTAGATGTAACAAAGTTGTAAGATAACAGTTTGAATATTTATTTATATATATGTGAAATAACATACAGATTGTATATAATAATGATGGCTTGGTTCTAGTCCATATTGCGTTAAATTCGGAAAGTGTAACATTCTCTAGTGTACATGTAAACAGCGCTAGAAGTTTTAACTAATTTTCTTTTAATTCAATTTAATTTATACTGTGCTTAGGTAATTTATTCAGCTGTATTATTTAGTCAATGTTTACCTGTCATGAAGCCCAATGCACAGTATGATTACAACCCTAGAACTTAGGCTTTGCAGTATGTGTATCCTACCTAAGAAACTGGCGATCATCAACTGCTGGAAAAACTGAAGGCCAGGTGAGGTTTAGAGGCTCTCTAGTTAGGTTTTGAGGTTGTGAATACAGTATAATCGTTGATATTAACTTACATGTTCGGTTGAGAATAAAACCCATCACAGAAATGGTTAAACGATGAAGATGCCAGAACGAATGAAACAAACGAACAATTCGGCATTGAAATTTTTACATTTGTGTTAATGACTATGTTGTCTGTATCTGTATGTGTGATAAATTTATTTCTTCTACATTCCGGACTTTACTCATCATTGCCACCACCTTTTGCAGGTTGCTAGATGCGATGGGAGACAGTAGCCCTGCTGAAGAGCTGATACACTTGCAGTTTCCTATTACGTTGCTCATGGGACGAAAGGAAGAACATTAGTCACTGAAGCTGATATTTAGGTGTTACCTTCTCCATGGTGTATAGCATAAATGGCTCAATGCTTAATTTAAAAAAATTTTATAAAAAAAATTTGCTTTAAATATTGATGTTTGATTTCGTTTCAGTTTGGTTAGTTAGTCGTGTAACGCGATTGAATGCGTAGAAGAGAGAGAGTTAATCAACGAGATCCAAGCTTTATTGTTCACACTGTAATGGCGTCTACAAACCGGCTGTTTAACCAAACTGCTGCTAATGGGCAGCTCATTGTAAAGGCGTCCTGTGGTTGGCTGCTGCGAGATCACACCACTGAGTGGGTGTATCCAACTTTACCAGCTAGGCTATACAATACGTGATCTACATAAATGTATACACGTTACAGGTCGTTGCTCAAAACAATTAGTTACAAGTAAAATGTATAATAATTCATAATAAAGTCCTTGAAACTGCCAAGCATGTTTTCTCAAATCTAGATTTAGCAGTTGTAAAACGAGATATTACATAGATTTATTAGATGTAACAAAGTTGTAAGATAACAGTTTGAATATTTATTTATGATATAACATGTATATAATAATGATGGCTTGGTTCTAGTCCATATTGCGTTAAATTTGGAAAGTGTAACGTTCTCTAGTCTACATGTAAACAGCGCTAGAAGTTTTAACTAATTTTCTTTTAATTCAATTTAATTTATACTGTGCTTAGGTAACTTATCAGCTGTATTATTTAGTCAATGTTTACCTGTCATGAAGCCCAATGCACAGTATGATTACAACCCTAGAACTTAGGCTTTGCAGTATGTGTATCCTACCAATTATTCTAGGTAATTACGGTCAGTAACCAGTTAAGACTCGAGCAATCTATAAATTGTGCAAAACAACAAAAAATCCATTAATTGCACAGTGCTTTCTGTGTAGCATAATATAGGCATATATATAAGATGGCAATCATTTTTTACGTGTATTTTGAAGGCTTTTGTACAGCAATGACAGTCAGGCAACCATATGTTTTTCTCATTCCTTCTTTCTCGTCTATTAATGCCTCAAGTTTGTTGCTCTCTTTCAAGTCATGCAGCCTTTGGAAATATGTCTCCATGTAATTTGTACCCATCTCTTTGTCTCGTTTTTTCAACAGTGCAAATGCAGAAACCGCAAGTATGAATTTTGGGTCAGATGCAGTGTCGACATTGTAATAGTGCTGTGGTTTCATTATAATTTCATGAAGAGGGACCGTTGCCTGCATCGCTGGGAAACCGACTTCCATCAGTATTTTCTCTATAGAATTGTAATCTCCACACATTAGTTGTAGTATTGGCTCCTTAAACAGATCATCAACCTTCTCTATAAGGCCAAAGTGCCACAGGCAATGTGTTAGTTGTTGTCGCAAGCAAGTGATCATAAGGAACAGGCCACCTTTTCTCAAGGCATCGTAGATGTTGCGTAACGCTCCCGTGGCTTTAGGAAACGTCAACGTATCGATGTTGTCATCAGGAGAACCCAGGTGATGCAGAACGAAATTCACGCAGATGGCGTCGTAATGTTGTTCACCTCCCGGTATAGGGCATGGAAGCACTAGTTGTTCGCAGTGCGGCACGCGTCCAGCCACGACGTAGTCGGCAACCTTGGTTCTAGCGTAGCTCAGCATTCCCTCGCTCGCATCAAACATGGACACCTTGCCAACGCCATTATCCAGGAAATACTTTGCGTAGCTGCCTGTGCCACAACCTGAGTGAGAGAGGTTTATATTGTTTGTGAGTTATGTTACAGGGAATACGTTTGTCAGTTTTATCACTTTTATCACGTTTACTTTCTGGGTTATGACTGCAATAAATAGAAAGAATATATTTTATTGTGCGGCAATGGTATATATACGCTCGGGATGAAGAGGACAAGATAGCTTTAAAAACGCCTCTGGTGGGAAAGATTTTCTTTGAAAACATCATCAGATCATAGATACTGGCATGTCTGGGTTGGGTAAAGACGTTGCCACTGCTGTCATGACATACATGTATATAGTTTCACGAGTCACTCACCAACGTCTGCAATGTGGAGGTCTTTTAATGGTTTTCCCAGTCGGCGTAGTGCGTTCAATTCCGTTTCACATCCGGCTGCGCATCTAAAGAAGAGTTTTCATCAAGAGTACATGACCAAAGTGATAGTTGAAAATTGACTATAACCAGTTATATGTTCTATGCCTGGGGGGCACTCCCATTGTTAAAGGTACTCGGGACGGGCCACTGGACAGGGTATATTTTCCGAACATCATTATTGGCACAGCTAGGGTTATCTAGATACACAGTTACACACCCATCAAGCTGATATTGGACCAATATCTGCCTATATTGACAGGACAGGAATGTGCAATATTGCAACAGGGTATACTTTTTAGTGCAGTATATTGGGACATGGTGTATTTTAGGGCGCAAAGTGGTTTGCGACAGGGTAAGGTTTTCAAAGTCCTCGAGGCACCCCCTACCCAGTTCCGAGGCGAGTGCCCCCCCCCGGGGTTCTATGTAAATGCAGTGTTGATAAGGCATTCTCAGACAAAGGGCACGCAGAGCGAACATGTTGTTAGACCTCTTACTTAAACATGAAACCAATAAAGCTACTAATAATTATCTAAATATCATCTAATCCAATGCGTGTTTGCTAATAATTACTAAGCAAACACGTGTAACTTGCTCCAGCCATACACTAATTGGTTACATTTATGCAAATGATCAACGTAATCAAATGACACCTGAAATTATAATACAAGACACATCTGATCATTTCCCTGTATTTTTAATAACACAGAACAGGCAAGGCTCTCTATATAATATTATTATATCACCTTGTTCAGGGGTGAATGCTAAGAATTCTTTGAAAGTGGGAACTAGGATTCACTACGACAGTTTCTTATGATCAAACGGATACAACCTTGTGTATTTATATGTTAATTTGATAATAAATGCGTAAATTCCATTATATTAATTACTTCTACAGATAAAGTCAATGGGGTCAAATTACTCTCACATCTAGAAAGACAAGCCCTGGCTGCACTGACAAGAGCGGTGAGCTCCTGTTACACCGTAGACCCACTCTTTTCCAAGATACGTGCACATTAGAAGATCAGTATTACATTTCAACTTCAGTAGTTTGTCATGTTTTTAGCTCATCTGACATAGTCAGATGCAGCTTGTAGAATCGCATGAGCGTGCGTCCGTCCGTGCGTCCGTCCATCCGTGCGTCCGTCAACAGTTGGGCACAAATCTAAACGGCTTGACGTACGGATTCGAAAGTCGGGACGTAGGGGGGTAATCCGAATACGAGTTGGGATTTCGAAGCTGGGGGGTCAAAGGTCAAAGGCCAAGAGGTGTAAAGGGGGTACATTCCCTCCTTAACTTAAGGTATAGGGAGGAAATGCAGAATTGCGGCACAAATCTAAACGGCTCGACCTAGGCTCGTGATAGTCGGTGTATAGCATCATGGTAGGAAAAGCCATCACTGTGCCGAAATTGGAAGTCAAAGGGCAGTGGGGGAAAGGTCAGATATCAGACATTTTCTAAGGACATGGGCTAACGGACAGAGTAACAAAAAATTTTGTTTCAGCGCTGACCTACCAGTTTATCACTTTATTGAAAGGACCATGAAATGTGCTTTCCACTGACATGCGAAGAGTAAGTGTCTGATAACCTTTTCACCCTCAAGAGGAGGGTTAAACATGAATTCCTGAACTGCCTCAATAATGTCACAGTCATGGCACATCCATAATCGGGAAACCCAACATTCCTCGATAGCCTAACGGCTACAGCACATGAAATGATGTGTACGCAACTGCGTATCTGCATATCTGCGCCTAACAAAGGTCTCACTATGCACGACTTAAATGTTACATTTATCATTCTAGCAACAGACCTCAGATGAGCCCAGACGCTCTGAGGCTCTAGTTTAGATTTGTAGTGTGGAGATTTCAGGGGGGCTGACGTCATACAACAACACAACTTATAACTACAGAGATAGAAAGTTCCCCAGCAACAGGTAGAAAGTTCTTCCCCAGCAACAGGTAAAAAGTTTTCAAGCAACAGAGACAAGCGCGGGGGAGGGGGACCCACAGCTCCCAGATGTGGGAGGTCGGGGGTTGCACCGCCCATGCACGTGCCAGACGAGGGTGGTTGTATCGCCCGTGCACGTGCCGGACGAGGGGGGGTTGTATCGCCCGTGCACGTGCCGGACGAGGGGGTTGTATCGCCCGTGCACGTGCCGAACGAGGGTGGTTGTATCGCCCGTGCACGTGCTGGACGAGGGGGGGTTGTATCGCCCGTGCACGTGCCGGACGAGGGGGGTTGTATTGCCCGTTCACGTGCCGGGCAAGGGGGCGATTCCGCCCAAGCACCTGAGCCACGTGGGGAGGAGGTGGGCCGGGGTGGTACTGCCAGGATCTTACGTCACAAAAGGCTGCTATATAAGCAGCCACGATCCGACGGAAGGATAGTCAGTTTTCGGCCACGAGCTCGAGAGAGCAATTCACTGAGGGCAAAGAGCCAGCCACGAACCCTGGTCAGGAGCGCCGAGGACAAGAGGGCGAGCAACGATAAGGTATACCTAATAATAAGGAAGTCCAGCGAAACGAATCGAACATACCCTAGTCTCAATTTTGCTTGCTCGACCAGCGAAGTCCAGCGAAGTCCAGCGCAACGAAGCAAACATACCCCTCTCAATGTTGCTGGCTCGAAACGAAGCGAACATATGATATCCCTCGTATCGATTTCGCTTGCTCGAGCAACGAAGTCCAGCGAAAAAAGTGAACATGCCGCCGCTCTGTATTTCGTGTGCTCGACCAGCGAAGTCCAGAGAGACATGATACAAGATTGCGTGGCACAGCTTTGCTGTTGATCCTAAGTGCTGCGCGCGGATGAGACGCGCAGTTCCGCGGGATATGCACACGCGACCGCGGGGATGTTCAAGTATGAAGCGCTGTCCGCAGTGAAGACGTGCACCAAATTCGAGGCCCGGCGCACGTCTCCACAGCGGTCAGCGGATGGTCTGTAGTTTTAGAAGATGACAATGATTATATATTGACGATATTGTATAAATTTGTGCATTTCTATACCCTCGATCATAACTCAATACTTTCGTAGTTATATCGTAAACTAATCATCATTTAGGATTACAATTGTTTGTAACTATATTACACTCTATGAATAGAAAAACTGTTGGATAAATTAGATGAATTGCAAAAAGCTGATTGTAAAAGTTGCTGCAGAAAATTACTTTGGTTCTTGTAAGCTTGTGAACATGTAATACTAACAGGCAATAAGTGGCATTTGCTGAGCTGTGTAAGCAAGTATATGCATGTCAATGTTTGCATCACAGGTATTGATGTCAGTAAACATCAGATAGATGCTGCAAAATATCAAGAAACATGCAACAATGTGTCGTACATGTAAGTCACTATAGTCACTATATACATGTGTTATTGTAGACTTAATATATGGGCAGGTACTGGGTTAATTTTAAAATTGTGTCTCTTTAGTAATCCGTCTAGCAACATAACTCCCCATCTCTCAAATTGCATTACTATGGAGAACGACGTCATTCCTGCAGTATCTCGTGTCTTTGTAGGGTAGGAGATGCAGAAGACACTGGCTTACCGCCACTCTCTGTTGATCTTGTCGTGTGTAGTCAGGCTGCTCATTGGTTTGACCTTGACAAATTTTTTGCGGAGGTCGATCGAATTCTGAAGCCTAATGGTGTGTTGGCATTGAGTACTTACCAAGCCACACCCATCGCATCATACAGAGATGAGGGGACATCAGAAAAACTCAACAAAATTTTGAAGAAGGTAATTTTTGCATGGCTTTATTTATGGAAGTGCTTCTGTACATGCAGCTACATAAATAGAGATAGGTCTGAATGTTTAGAATTACAGAATGATGCAAGTAGTTACTTTTAACATAAAACTTGCCTCGAGTTAAATCAATATTGGAATTCAGTTTTGTTAACTTTGATGTGAAATTTTAGCACAGGTTAATCACACTCGCAAAGTACTGGGACAGTCGGCGGTCATGGGTTGAGAATGGTTACGCTGATATACACATCCCATACAAAGAGACATTGGAAATTAGGTAACACTCCTGGTTTATATTGGGAGTATTTGTCAAAAATTGTACGTAGATGACGTCTTATTAACTGGCACAATGTGTACTAGACGATCTGCAGCCCGGATATACGCGCGAAGCGCGAACAGCGCCACCTCGTGGCGCCTTTTCATCCAACTCGACGATCTGCAGCCCGGATATACGCGCGAAGCGCGAACAGCGCCACCTCGTGGCGCCTTTTCATCCAATTCGCTGCCCTCTATGTAGAACTAACTACGCGAAGCCCTCTGGGTACTACAGAAAGCCGGATAATCGGTCAATTGAGCAGTTCTGGCGATTGCAGAAGCCTTTCGACTCTGCACGTAGGGCGAGAATAAATCCAATGGTCGTAATTGCTAATTTTTTTGGTTGGCGCGTTACGTTTTCTTCTAGAAAAGCTATTTCCA